CAGACTTTGTAATGTTCATCCACTCTTATTTTGCAAGTGACTTTTCTTTCTTTTTTAAAGATGTTTTCTTTGGATTGTTTGACAACTCAAAAGAGAATATAGGAAAATATAACTTAATTTGTGTTTCCTTCTATCTAAATTTCACATCTATAAACAAAAATCTGTGTCTAAATGTCTTTTTTTTATTCAAAGTTGATCTAGACAAGTACATAGAAACTATCCAAAGTTCTGTTAATCCTAAAGCAGCAAAAACTTCATCTGTGTTCATCCTATGCGTCCTCTTAATCACAGATTAACCATAGTTTTGCTACACTAACCATATTTTAACCATGGTTTTTGTATTAAAACTGTGGTTATACCAAAAACATGGTTACTAGTACACCTTTACTATAATAAAACCATATTTAAATTTGTGTATATTTTTTTTCTTTCTGTGTTTTTTGTTTGTTTTGTTTTTATAACTGTACTGCCTTAAAGGGTTAGTTCACCTGTCAATTACTCACCCTCATGTCGTTCTAAAACCATAAGACCCCCGTTCATCTTTGGAACACAAATTAAGATATTTTTGATGAATTCTGAGAGCTCTCTGACCCTCCCATAGACAGCAATGTAATTACCACGATCAAGGTCCAGAAACGTAGCAAGGAAATCGGTAAAATAATCCATGTGACATCAGGGGTTCAAACTTAATTTTACGAAGCTATGAAATACTTTTTGTACGCAAAGAAAACAAAAATAACGACTTTATTCAACAAATTGTCTCCTCCGCTAAGAAAGAACGTAAACAGCGTATGCTAATCTGTGTCAGATGCGTCACGCGGATGAGACGAATTGTTGAATAAAGTCGTTATTTTTGTTTTCTTTGCGTACAAAAAGAACGGGGGTCTTACGGGTTTAGGACGACATGAGGGTGAGTAATTAATGACAATTTTCATTTTTGGGTGAACTAACCCTTTAAGAAATCAGGAAAAAAAAGATTCGCAAACCCGCTCTGAAGTCCCGATCTGAATCAAATGAGTCGCGATACACGACCCGATTGGAGC